TATGCACCAAAACACTCGCACATACACACCTACATACAAACATTTGTGCATTCGCACTCATACATACACACATTTGTGCATACGCATACACACCTACATGCGTACACGAACGCATACACATGTATACATACATCAATGCGAACACGTTGCAGGCTTATTTGATTAATATAGCTGAAGACGAAGACCGTAGAAATCTTCAGCTTTCATGAAGTTATGATCTCAGGCTCTCCAATCCATATAGCAGTCCTAAGCTAGAAAAGCATCATGTTCTCTATGCATGGAAGAAAATCCGCCTCGAATATTTGTAGTTCAAAATATCCAATCATAGACACAGAATTCCTAAAATAAAATACTCTAATTAATAGCTTTCATTCAAATTTTGCTGACAAGTAATTCTTTCCAGTTTTTATATCCATAATAACATTGACGTCGCAATTAATATTGTTATGGAGAAGGATGCCGCTCAATACGCTCGAAGCCCTAGATGGACCGGCTCTTGCCCAACAAAGAGCTCTTCCCTACGAGGCTGCGAAATTTCTACAGAACACGTCTGGAATCGCTACACGAATTTCTCCCTTCCATCCAAAAAATCTGGCGACTATTCCAACATTCAGGGGGGGTGGAATCGGCCAATTGTACAATAAACCAACATCACCCGAAGACCCCCGTTGTTGATCGACGTGAGGGAACGAATCGAATACAAAAAGTGTTGGAACTTGCACAATTCGTAATGTCTGGCGGTGTGAAGGAGAATGAAGTGAGTGAAACGCTAAATCCTAAAAAGTACTAATTGAAGACTTTTTATGGCTATAAGGCTCCTATGAATCTTAACTATTTTATTTACTGCCTACTATAATTTTTAACGGCAGGATATCATGTGAAATACAAATAAGATGGTGTTGAGATATTTGCAAAACTCCGGACTGCAGGTATCTGAGGTCGGAAACGAACGCGTTATTGTTCTTTCCGAGGAGTAACGCGTTCACCACCACACCATGCGGGTCCTTCGTTCTGACTGTCTCTCAGGCAGTTCTATACCATCAGCAATCACTCGTTAACGAGACTGATCTAGTGAGCCCAAATCGACAACGAACCGAGTTAGGAAATTTCGTATTAGTCTAGGAAGATGTACAGTTTCTTAAATAAATAAGCTTTTATTACCCAGGTCAACCCTGTTGACGAGTGATTGCTGATGGTGCCGATCGATAGAACTAGTTGAGAGACAAGAGAAACGAAGGACCCACGTGGTGTGGTGGCGAACGAGTTTCTCCCGGAAAGGACAATAACGCGCTCGTCAGACACCTGCGGTGCGGTGTTTTGCAAATATCTCAGCATCATCTTAGTTGTGTTTCACATGGCACTCCCATGAATGTTTCGTATGGTTTTGTTTTGTATGTGGTATTCGTATAATGTTTACGTGTGCGCATGCCTGTATTCTCGTTGTTGTGCATCTCTGATAGTGGACGAACGTGTGTATACGTGCCTGTGTACATATGCATTTTGTGTCTTTGCATGTATGCATGTATCTGCGTATGTATATATGTATGTATGTGTGTATGTATGTATGCATGCGTGTGTGTATGTGTGAATGCGTACGTGTATAAGTATCTACGTGTGATAAAAATTTCAATATCTCGTTTTTTCTGAACATAAAAGAGCAAAAAGAGGATGAAGCACACATATACATTACTAATCTGACTATCCTTATAAATTTTATATGGATGATTTAAAAGTCCATAAGAAATAGAATAAATGAGAAGGCTATTTGGCTTATTAACGTGAATAATAGAAAACACAGAGTGCAGTGAAGAATCAGAGTTACGGTAACCGAAACATTTCTCATAAAAACTGAACACAGTGAAGTTTCGGTCATTTCTTTCAGTTGACTTATTTATTTTATAAAAGTTCTCTGAAAGCTTGTTGAAACTCATAAGTTGTATGCTTCATCGCAATGCACTGCATTGTGGGTATATGCACACATATATGCTACACGTTGATATCGTTACATTGCCCCGTTAACTTGTCAATGTCAATGTTTTGCTCTAAAAGAGGCTAAGGTGCAAATGCGTTTGTTACGCTGTTTCATTGAAACAGGTGAAAAGAATTCTCTTCACATCTTTCTATTATCAGCTCCTTTTCTAGCACTCATTTTCTTTCCTTATTCTTCTTCGTTTTTCTCTCGTTACGTCATCCCTACATTTTCTTACCTGTTCGTTTGTTTCTTAGCAGCTTTGTTTTTAATAAAGGAATAAATGGCAAATTTGGAATGCTACAATTACTAGAGGATCGTAGAAAACCTCGTTATCCGATTCCACTGCCTGGGTTTTTCTTCGGCAAGGTTAAAAATGGAGGGCTATTTTTAGCCAGAACAACTTTTTGAACACATGTTTGGTTTCCGTATCCATAGGTTATGATATAAGCAGATTTCTGATGAAAACGTAGACGAATAAAAAGACATTGAAAAGGTGTAACTAGTAACAATTACTATTCATGCTAACAGCAATGGTGGATATACGCAACGGAACAGAAATAGTAATCTCCATACATGATTTTATCTAAGAACATAGGAGAAAAACAATTAATCTGAATGTTATACAACATTCGTACTAGTCACTAAATATCACACTCTGTTCAATTAATAACGTCACTAAGTTTTTTTGTTCTTCTAAACCATTTCAAAATATCAAAGAAACTCCCAGGTTTTGGTGTGGTTCAGGTGTAGATCTTGGGTTTTTGCTGTGTTGGTCAGGTATCCCAGCTCGATAGCTATCGTTTAAAAGCGAGTTTTAAAAAATTTAAAGTAAACTATTACAACAAGAAACCTTTCAATTCTTGAGTGATGTGAACGTCGAAGCTGTTCTCCATCCCTATATGTCACAAACACTTCACTTCATTTGCATCATCAAATTCTTCATGGTCTAAAACTGTACAAGGGATTTTAGTAAGTGATTTGTTATTCAAAACTTAATAATTTTACGATGACTTGCTTAAAAATTATCACATTTAATAAAACTTCTTCGATCTGGCAGACCTTTTGTTCCACTTAGACTTCTCCTGTAAGGGCCATCGACGTCCATTCACCGATCAGCTTCCAGATCGTCACCACACTCAATCGAAAAACAGTTTTGGATCATTTCTGGATTGCAAATTAGTTTATTTACTACTGAGTTTTTTCCGATCCAAGTTTTTAGATGGAATTGATGAAAGAGCTCTTTCTCAGCTTGGGTTGGACCTATTGTTTGAAAGTATTCGCGCTACCTTCAGCTATCCATTGCAACTGAGCCACCAGAACCATCTCTCATCTATGCTGAGGCAGAAGGCACATCATAAAGAAAGAAGTTCGCATGTTTTCTAATTTTTGCAATTTGCTAAATTGTTTAAGGTAAGAATTACTCTGAGAAAAAGAATACAAAAAAGGCATTTTATCGACAGCTTTCATATGACCGTACCGAAAGCACTCTATCTATTCTTATCTTTTATTATATAAGCCTTACCAGAGAGCTATTTAATATTTGTAACCTTTCAATAACTGTCATTCCTTTCTCTTTGTTAAACAAGTGAAAATGAAGTTGTAAACTATTATCGGTCGCTTTACCATCCTCATTAAACTGACTCCGGAGACTGTGTTTTAAAAAATTCATACGCATGAAAAAGTAACCTATACTGGATTTGATGTTTTTATTGGTACACCTATACAGAAAAAGAAATGAAACGATCTAAAGAAATTTCTTGACTGGCTCTCTGCTGGTTTGCGAAGATATTTCTCTCCTGTCTTGAGAAACCCACCACACGATGGCGCTTTCGGATCGCGACCACAGGTAGTCACCGAACTTTGTGGTTCGACGAAGGTGTGTCACACTTTGCTTTTAGGTATATCTCAGGACTCCGAGATACTTTGGATTCGTTCACTTATTGTTCGACTTCTGATTGAAAGTACCGAGTTCCTTCTTGACTATGTTTTTGTCAGAATGGCAGTGGTTTTTGGTACTGGCTTAATCTTATCTGGACTACTGCATGAAAGTATCGAACCCTTTCTCAGCTGAGAACGCTCTGAAGACACCACAGCCCAACACGAAAGAATTTAGCTAACACTACTAAGATGGTAAACTGTGGTACACCAGATGGCAAACATACAATGTTTAAGTTGGGTTTTTTTTCCACAACGGAATCTATTGCTCATATTTGTAAGAATGTTTTGGTTTAAAAGCCCCTTACAAGTCTCTGCGATTTCTTCTTTAACAATCTGTAAACATTTTTTATCTTCGAGATTCAACGGCTTCTGATAAAGCGCTGAAGAAAGCCATCTGTAATAACAACTAAAGGACAGTGTTTCAGTTGTTATTATTTTTTACTAAAAATAGATAACACTGGTTCAGCTGGAGGAGAAAAGACGTTTGTTGTAAACTTGCTCGGCATACATCAATTTACTAATTACTTGACTTCATAAGAATCGTCATAACTCGTCCTCGAACGTTCACCTATCATTTCGACACAGATCCACCACGTGAAAAAGTTTTTAGGTTTCTACGCACACTTCAGAAAGGTGTAAGTAGAACTCATTCATTCACAATCAATGAATCAATACAATAGGTGCCAATTAACAAAGGAGGGAAAAGGTACAACAACAGGTGAGGTTTTCTATGAATATGATGCTAATGAATGGATATCTCTCATCGTAAAAGTATAAATATACATGTAAGGATTCACTAAGACAGACATATACGTAAACACGCATTTACATATGCTAATATACACATATAACGCTATGTTATGATATTTAGTGAATAACAGGATGAGGGAGCAAGCTGGAAACAGTCAATGCGATTTTCGGTGGACGAGTTCTCTTTTCCTATGCAGCAAAAAAGAAAAATCGTCCCACTGCAGAAAACCGTACCGCTTTTAAAATGAGAACAAATTCTCTTCATCGAAAATGTGCTCACACTCAGTTTTTGAGGTACTTTTAAAAACCCCGCAATCTACAGCAGAGGTAGCGATGAGGTATGGAGTGGTTACAGCATACTGATAAGTCATCACAGGTGAGAACGTTATAAATTCAGTATCACATAGAGAGGATTATAGATAGTAAGTACGAAGAATGTGTGTGTGCTCAAATAGTTTTTTGGCCAAAGCGGAAGAAAGTGCCTTTCGGTAATCCCACGTAAATTTCTACAGTATGCCACACTCTACAGAAGGGATGACGTCATCGTCTAATACGATGACGGTGGCCACGACTACACATATGTGGATATATTGCAGCATACTAAAGTGTAGAATAAAATTCAGCACATATAATTTGATAATAGTTGTTGGTCGGTATATTAGGATGCAACCGGATACGTGAAAACGCCCTCGATCGTTCACCTACTTACATGCCATCCTGTAAATTGACGTATCGTTGGAAAAAATATCTTTGTATTCACCGTGCAAGATCAATTGTATGTGCTAAAATATTAGTCGTAGGCATGATTTGGTGCAAGCCGACATAATCAGTATACATATATATGGTCCACAATTTGCAATGTGTTGGCCCGCTAACGATTGCGTAGCGGCTGCAAGATAAATTCCAAAAAAAATTGGTGACCATTGGAAAGGTGGTTACTCAAAATAAATTGCGTATTTACACCCGACAAATCGAATATGAGTTACTGTGGGAATTGGCTAAATTAGAAATTGCATACATCGATTATAGCATTATTGATTTGTTGTGTGTCCATGGTGTCGTTATTCAGAGAGAAATCATTTGTTTGCTCGAGTAGTTTATAATTAGCCAATAAGCTTTGCAAGAGAGATTCGTTTGAGACTAGTGGAAATGTGAACGCTGATGGTGCTGATGGATTTATGGCTATCGGAGCGGCGATTAGCGACGTCGGATTGCTGAAACTCGTCCCAGATTCCGGTGACGTCCCAGCTGAACCGTTCGCTGTCGTCGCCGGCGACTGTGAAACAGCGGCGAACAGCAGCGGAGCCGTTCGCAGTAGATCCGGTGATGTGGCGAACGGTTTGATGGTCGATGGTGAGTATGACGAACCGTCTGACGAAGTCGGAGACGTCAAGAACGACTGCGTTGGAACTTGTTGCTTAAGCTGACTGTCTGAAAGAGTAAGAATTGGAATTCATATGATTCTTCTTGTATCATAATCCATAATTTTTAGCTTTTTGAAACTAAGCAATAATGTATTGCCAGTTTTGTAGTTAAACAATAAATAAGTAACAAATGCTATCTTACAGTAAAATATTCTGGTCCCATAAAAAACTTTCTTGTTCTCAAAAATTTTACTTTGGTACTGTCATTATCCCTAATCACGTTAACTAGAAGTCGACCTTCTCGACTCCGTTTGAAGAAGTGTAAAAGAATAAACGGGAGTAGGTGGCCTGGATAAATTACCATTTTGACCTAATCACGCTTAGCCGATCGGTAAAGAGGACACTACGAGTCATACAGAGTTGCACAACTCTCACCATGGTTACTATTGGCATCAAAGATAATCCGAGAGCTTTAATTGGTGTGTTTACAATAGAACCCTCCTTATTGCTCTATATATATATTTTCTGCTCTAGTACAGCCAGCAAAGAAACCATCTGTTGCCTGCACAACAGGAAGTATAACAAACATTGCCATAGGCGATTAGCTGGACAATCACAGATAGCAGGCAGCGATATTGGAAAAACAACTTCCCGATGCCCTCTGGAAAATTAGCTTCTGAAGTCTATTTATGCAAAGACAAAAGCAATTAGTTTCTAAAATCATAGCAATTATCGCTAGTTGTTTTCTGAAAGTGTCTCTCAGCCAGCTATTATAACATATAATTTAAATTGTAAACAGAGATTAGTCGCCTACGAAATATAAATTCTAAATATAAATCTAAATTCTTCAACAAAAGAACTCCATAGATAAATATTTTATAACGTGTTTTGCCTACCTAAGTAAGTGTAACCGTTATTCAAGACTAAGGCGGGAGATTCATTTTTCTCTCTTATCATTCATTATCATTGAACAAATAACCTAAATCTCTTTTAAATTCGACAACAGCTGGGTGAAGCGACATGTTTCATAAACATTAAACTAGTTAATATAATCTTTACAAAAATTATGAAAGTTGACGATAAATGAGAAATATATCCTCAGCCAATTCTCTACTCATTAGTATTTTCGTCGTCTTCTCGAAAGTTTACCGCGTCATCGTGGGTGGAAGGTGTTCCTGAGCGTCGGGCTGCGATGTATCGCAGGAGAATCATCCCTGGCAGGGTCTCCCAATCTGAGAAGGAGTCCAGCGTTACCATCAAGAAGCCCAGCTAAGAGCAAAATAATACCAGGAACAACCACCGTCTTGGCATCAAGCTAATCGCATGGAGGCAAATCTCCCCCTGATCCACAAATGGTGTGACGGTCTATGGTGGTTACACTGGGGCAGACTTTGGCTAGGCTGACCTCGAGACTCCAGGGAACCACGATGGCTCAACCAGGAAAACTCAAAAAAATGGAAATTATGCTGGCATACAACGAGAAAAGACGGGCCATCCAAGTCTCTAAGTAAGTTTCTTGGTCAGTTTGTTAAGTGATCGCCTCATTCTAGTACAGTTTAATCCAGTCCGCTACTGGTCACGCTGGAATCGGACTTTTCCATGCTTCGGATACTTGCAGAATTCACTAATACGATCAATATCTATCAGAACTTTAACTATATGTGAACACTTGTTGTTATAGCGTTTCTAAGTAACCATATACAAAAACTTGCTAACTATTGTATAATAATGGGCGTGTTGCGTGAGAATAAATTTCGCTTTTCATGGGGTATGTTCGTGAAAAAAATTGACACAATTAGCTGTGATTCTTTGGTAGCGAAACTTATTTTCTTCCAGGCTCGTTAAAAGTACACCTAAGAGCTAATACGAGAAAACCACCGCAAATGAGTGTTTGGTTTTTGACGAAGATTGTCTACTCTACAAGAGGTCAAATATCATGTAGTCTTAATTAGCTTAGCAACGATAGAAAGTAATTTCTGCTCAAATCACACACACATTATTGCTGTTTGCTACTGAATAGATGTAAATAAATAAAGGATAAAGCTCTCGGCGTTGATCAATCCTTGAGGGATGCGCCATGCATTCGACTTTATAAAGCGTCGTTGGAGGTAATTGAATGCATATCTGGCCTTTACGATGACTCGCGGTAGCCTACCGATGTATCGAGCCAGCGTTGCTATCCTCCTAGACTAGTCTGGTACCTATTTGCCGACCCGGGAGAGACGGAGGGCTTTGTAGGCCATGGGCGCGAGCATCGATCTCACGTGTGTGCTGCAGGGCACCTCCGACCACTGCACCACACGCGCCCCTACTGTATAGATGTAATAGCCAAAAATATTGTCTAATAAAAGAAGACAGATGTGGGTTGTATAAACTAAAATTGTTGATAGTGTGATAGTGATGAAGCATATGAAGAAATGAGGTACTCATCATTTGTTTCTAGGTCAACTTAATCAGTCGCAAAAATCATAAAAAGCGTATCAATGCCGCAGATATTAAGTTGTGATCTACAACTAGGTGCTCATCCTTCAGCACGATCATCTAAACTGAGAAACTCGAAATTTCCATCCGAAAGTCCACGGGTAAGCCAGAGCCAGAAGTTGCTGCTGCCTTGGTGACAACTTCGTCAGAAGCCAAAAAATTTCCTTACGATTCACAATTTCCAAAGAATGACTACAATGAGGTTTTGTACAGTCTTTGTGCAGCTACATCAAGCTTCTAGAGAGAAGCGAAATTTTGCAAAACCGGCAACTTATCAAGCAAGTGGACATTAGCTTTCAGGATTCCTCGTGGAGATGTACTATTCAAGTATACATTCTTTCCGCTGCAACGACAACCTTATAAACAAAATTGTTAAATTTTTAAGAATCGCTACTCCGGACTTCCGCATCTTATTCTTCACTTGGCTGCATTTTCCACTTAATAATCGGTCTAAAGTGTATAAAAACAGCAGGAAAAAAATGTTGAAAGATTTCTAGTATATTAAAACAAAAATTAGGCCAGAGTTCTTACAAAATCTTCTCCAGGATTTTTCTTCTCAATGTTTCCTCTGCTAACAATTCACCGTCAACAAACGACTGAAAGGTGATCATAATTAAACGAACAAATCAAAAACATTACTTAGAAAGCGAACTGGAGGTTTTCCCGTAAGTTTCGCACTGAAATATGGACGAAATTTGACTCAATTCACAAAGTATTTTGATTGTTTGTTGCCCCCATAAAATGGACGAGTTTCCCTTATTGTCAAGTAGTTAAGCATGTCAATCTTAGCATCTGTCATAATATTTTTTAAACATGGCGCTCAATCCAATCTGTGAGAACAACACTCAACAATCTGAACTTTTCAGCTATACTTTGGCTTATTTATTTCCCCGAATCTTACGATGTAATCCGAGGTAGTGTATCGGACGGTGACGGTGAGAGGATGACGAGCACGTTGAATATGAATCCAATTATGTTTTTCTCATATCACTCCACAAGTACATTATCAGTTTCGTCTACAGCACTAAGGCGATTCTATCCTATCAACAGTATGTAGAATTCCTGTATGATTATCAGTAACAAATAGTTGTAAAATAGATGATCTTAGAACGATTTTCCCTGCAATTTATTGAATCGCTGTGATTTTTTCAAAAGCAAAAGACGCTTGATTCTACAAAAAGTAAAGTGGATTATTTTAAGCTCTTAAAATAGTTTATAGTGATGAAAGCCAAGTCGGCCTTTGCCCAGAGTCAAGAATGATTATAGAAAATATAGTAAGAAATATACTCTTGGGAAATCCCTAGATAAAAGAACGATAAGATCGATGCTGATGAAAACAGTTGTGGAGAATTTTAGTATTTATAGCAGCCTTTCTACTTAAGCTCTTTTTTCTCTTTTTTTTTCATAACCTACTAGTTATTATTTGCTATCACTGTTAGCTAAGAAAAAAATGAGAGAAAAAAATTTGATACAAAGCAGAAGAAGGGATGGAAGGAAAGAAAGAAAGGCTAGAAGAACATCATTTAGTGTTTCCTGAAAAGAAAACACGATCCTTAAACTCACATAGCAGGCTTAATCCACCAAGTCCGAAATTCATCTGACCAGAAAGTGCAGCAGCTGCGCTGATAGTTGAGGTGAGTTGATCTCGTTGTAAATTCATAATGCTGTCTTTTCGTTGACGCCGACGAATTTTTATCTGATCCGCCATTAATTTTTGTCGTTCACTTACAACTTGGCACTGAAAAAGAATGTATAAATAAATGAATGATAGCGAATAAAATATTAGCTGAAAAACAACTTGTTGAGGAACAACCAGAGAGAAATTCGTAGATGAAGAGGGGGAAGGCGACCTAAAAAGTGTAAGCCAAAAAACTACGGTGTGAATGACCTTCGTTCGTAAAGAAACCTTCGAAAGCTTAAGAACTCGTCCACTAAGGCCGCATATCAGCAGCAATTTCATCGTCATTGATATTCATGGATCCCGATGGGAAACCAACAGGAATGATCTTTTGGAAAATGTGCAAATATTATAATAATAGCGCCCCGATTTGCCAACTGACATCATCATATCTCGTCATTCTTCCTCAATGACTTCATCGACGACACTTACACACTTTGTTTAATCGTGTTATAGTTGTACTATTATTGTAACTGCGCCATCGACTCGGATCAATTCAGCACTGAAGAAGGCGAAGGTGCTGGAACATTGGCTGAATAAAGTTCTTATTTTACCAACCTTGTGATAGGGTATCAATGAAAGTATGCATGTTGATTAGTTATGCTGAGTTTAAGGAAAGCGGATTTTCGAAATACTGTCACGCTCTGGGCTAGCTGGTAATAGCTCTGGTAATAGCTCTAGTAATAGCTCTAGCTAGCTCTGGCTAGCTGGCTACCAACTGCTACAAGATGGTTTCTCTGGAAAAACAAACAGTCATCAACGACAATCACTGTCAACAACAGCTGTCCTCTACAGAAGAGCACTGCCGAGTGTGGTCCCGTTATTTCAAAGATGTCACAGTGGATTCGATTCGTTGTGATCACGAAAACCCACGTCGGAAGAAGGAAGATCTGTGGACAATCCACTCGAACTAAACCGGCTTTGAAGAACGCGAAGGCACCGGAAAGTTAGCCGATTAAAGTATTTTATCAACCTCCTGCTAGCACAACAATAAAAAGATGCATGTTTTATTGTCTTCATAAAAATACACAAAGTTGTTTTCATGGCTAACGTTACAGCGCTTATTCAGAGCTGCAATCATCTGAGTCCAGCATTCAGAACCGTTCATTATTCTGATGCTGGTCATCGTGGTCGCATCGTATTGAAACCAGCGAAATGTAGCACCACGTGAAAGGAAAGCGACACTTCTGATTTCCACCAGACGTTGCCAGACTTCTTTCATTAGCTTTTAGAATAATTACTAGGTTCAACTTTAGTGCGACCATCATTATAAGGAAGTGCTGCAGCATTGGATATGACTATGAACGATAGTTGCTTCCCTCAACTGTTTCTCTTAGTCTCCCCTTTAATTCTGCACATGTTTTCGTTAACTCTTTTTTTCCAGAAATCCCTGTTCACTGTGTGTGTGCAACTTGCCAACTTCAACGCTTATAATTCATGCCATAAACAAAAAGTATGCGTGCACCCGAAGGCTCTCGCTCAACCGACTCTATTCATTCGCACACATGCCAGCATCCACTGCCATACACTCTATAGCATTTGCCTCGCCGTTCCTCTAGCTTTTATCGTTTCCATCTCTAGACGTTCAGACGACGTAGCGCGTTGACGTTCTTCTCTATATGTTCGTTCGTTCAACCACGCCCATTTCATACTTCTGTTTTTCATTGACGCTCTGAGAAACAAGGAAACATCGGCAGCTTCGTCCGTTGAGTCTACTTCGTCGTGTTTATGCGATCCTAGGGACACTACACTAGCTAATAAATAGTTTGTGCTGGTGGTAGTAGTGGGTAGGGGAAGTAAAGCCGATTCCATTGCAAAGCTCTCGGAGATTAGTCCTAAATAGGAGCAAAGTCATACAGAGAAACTCGAGAAACAGTAGATGTCGAAAACCAACAAAATATGGACTATATAGAAACGACGTAGATGTTACGAAGTGGTGGCGATTCAGAGTAATGTTATTGAGCAAGGTATATATGACCAAGTCTTTCAGCCCTTCATATTTTCGCTCTCCGACAATGATTATAACAAACTGCAGCAACTGCAATTTTGTCGGCTGGTGGTCTATGAAATGAATTTCGGTGGCGAAATTCATTTCACTATCACAATGAACCAAGTTCATAGTTCAATTTCGTCATTCATACCTTGACAGCACATCCCTCTTTTTCAATACCCTCATAAAGCGTTCGGGCGATCAATCAATCTCTAGGGATGCGCCATGCAATCCACTTCACTAAGTATCGCTAAAGGTGAATGAATGCACATCTGGCTTACGAAATGCTTACGTTGGCCTATCGGTATTGCACATTAGTGCTGCTATTCTCCCGGAGAAGTCTATTACCGTATTACTGATCCCAGAGCGATGAATGGAAGGCTTGATGACTATGGGGAGCGGAATTAAGTCGAAAACCAAGCACGTACTGCAGGGCACCTTTAACCCCTACTCTACAGGCTTCCATTTATGCCTTAACATTCATCCTAGCGAGCAGAAACCAGGAAATGCCTAAAGAAGACGCCGTGAAGACTATCCGAAAGTGTTATAATTGAGAAATACGAAAATTATAGATGACGGAGGCGTCTTTTCTGAATTCTGAAATAGGAATAGAAAATTTTCACCTTTCCTGATCCTGTCCTTCAATGGAAAGGAAAGTCAGTCTGAGTCATGAATTTAACTTCATCAAGCACGATTAGAGATGGTTGAATAAATATCTGGCTTACACAATTATTTGGAGTAACCCACCAATGTATAAAATCAGTGGCGATACCCTCATAGGCAAGCCTGGAAAAAGTTTGCCGACCCTATAGGGATCGAAGTCTTGGTGAGTCTGTGGCCGGTATCGAACCAGAAGGGTACGTCCGACCACTGCACTAAACACCATGCCCTTGTAATTGATTACTGTCGAATACTGAGCAAAAGGCTTTTATTACAGTTGAGGAACAGCGTTAATGAGTGGAGTTCCAGTTCTGAGCACCAATTTTTCCCTGAAGACGACACCAAATCAACTTACGATCGGCTCCTTTCGTTCGTGTTTCGCATTTATATGTATTTAAATTGTTGAGCTTACACGAGATTAAGAAGTGGGATTTACTTGGATAACGTTTCGACGTCTTCATTTTCATCAGAGCCTATATCCGAGCCGATGGTCCACAGTTGTTCGTGTTCTCGATGTGACATCTCCGTAGTCGTGCCGATACAGACCTTCAGTGGAACACCACACTATTAAAGCATGCTTGCCCGGCAGTGCTCTTTTATACAGGGCGGTAGTTATTGATATGACTGTTCGTTGATAACTATTTTTTCTTCAACGGATAATCCACCCAGCAGTAGACTGTATTATATAGACGAAGTCGTATGTGTTAAGAACTATAATGTGTGAATTACGAGGACACCACATCGAGAAAACGGACAACTGTGGGCCATCGGCTCGGATCATCTGCTTTGATGAAGGAGAAGACGTCGTAACGTTAGTCGAATAAATCTGTTTATTAACTACGTTTAAACTAAGTAACTTCAATGCACGTTGATTACTTTGCTATCGAGGTTAAAATGACGGTCGGTTTGGAAATTGTTTTGTATTTATACTATTTAATGCACTTTGGCAAATAAAAAATAATACTAAGTCGTGGCAACAAACTACGAAACGTTGTCGTCGTGTGCCGACAAATTTTAGTTAATTGTCGTCGGATACAAAAAACAAACTCCTCTACCACATTAACCATAGTACGATCTACTCTTTTTTTGCAACCTTTTGCAGAAGTTCACTAAATTGCTGAAAAAATAGCATGGTAAAAGTAATAGGCCAAGGAACAGAGAGCACAGTGGTGGTGATGTCCGCCATCACAAGCACGGTGCTAGTTCGATTTCGCTCCGGACCAACCAACCCTCTCATCCCTCCGAGGTCGGGAAATTGGCACCAGACTTCCCTGGGAAAAAGTTACTTCCCGCAATCCATTTGCGAAGGTCAAGTTCGATTATCTCAGGACTTCAGAGAGAATTGCTCGACCAGCATTCTACGACATTCAAGATGAAATGAAAATCCTCAAGTAGAGACTGAAGCCACATGTAAAGTTGGAAAATCTTCGTAGACAATGGGTGCGAGGAAACGAATCGAATGTGAGAAGTGCTGCGATCGGCACAATAGACGTGAAGATGGTTCATATAAAATAAAAATAAAAAAGTAGCAGTGCCTTTATCACTCTATCGTTATTTATAAATATGGATCATTTGGATTCCACTCTTAAAGAAGAGTCGAATTTGCAACGTTCTGAAGGTTTCTGTTTATAGCAATAAGAGTTACTCACTTATGAAAACTGTCAGTGTCGTAGGTTTTTATTAAGGAATTTGTTGTCGTCGGATACAAAGAAAGATTTTTACGCTGGTGATGTGCTTTACCTGCTTAGAGTATCAATAATGTGAAAAGTCAGATTTTCGTTGTTTTAGAAAAGATAGAAAAGATAATACAGACTTACTTTTCTCCTCCCTACTAAAGTTTTTCACAGCACGGTATGATGCGAAATACAACCGCATTGATGCTGAGATAATTGCAAAACTCCGGACCGCAGGTGTATGCGGTGCAGAACGAACGTGCTATTACCCTTTCCGGGAGGTAACGCGCTCACCACCACACCATGCGGGTCCTTCGTTTTGCCTGTCTCTCAGCTAGTTCTATCGATCTTTTGCCATCAGCAATCACCCGTCAACGGAATTGACCTGGGTTATAAAAGGTTGTTTATTTAAGGAACTGTACACGTTCCTGGACTAGAACGAAATTTTTGCCGTGGTAATTGAAAGCATACATCCAAAACCTACGAACATTAGTTGGTGTTATTCATGGCGTTATCGTCAGGAAAATACGATTATTTAGGATTGTTGTTTAGAAAAGTTGTGCTGTTTTTACACTGCAGAGTAGAATTATGCAGTAAGCTGTCCAATTTTCTGCATCCTTTTCAAGGAAACGTCGAAAATCTTTGGAGGTATTTTTTAAACCTCTTCGATTTGCCCTGGTAATCGATTGAGGGCAGGCAAAGGAAACTTCTCAACAATTTCACTACACGCTTACAACTGTCACGAAACGTTGTTGTGAAGTGAAAGCAATCAAAAAACCTTACCATAGTAAGCTCGCTTGCTGCTAATTTAATTTTTTAATCTAATTTTAATAATTTCTAAATAGCTACACTTCTTGTTCCACTTTTTTTTCACTCCTCGGAAGATTTTTTGGAAGAAAAAATGCTCAAAACATTGTTAATGTAGCCATAAGAGGAATGGTGGATGATTGTCCTTCGAT